ATTTCTTTCGTAGAATTAAATTTTCATAAATGTTATGCAGAAAAAACATTTACGTTTTCTGTGGTTGAAATGAGTGAAATTTTATGATAAAGTCACACAGTTAATGGTAGGATATGTGCCCATAAATAGATATATACCAAATTATGTTTTCATATATATATAGCATGTACGTATATATATATATATATATAACTAAGATGGGGGTATTTTTGATGTGACAAATTTTATTTATTTTTTCAATTGTCTCTCCCCTTAAATTGGAGGGAAACTTGAAATTACACTGATACATTTTTTTGAAAACCAAACAAAGATTCTTTTCAATATAGAGTTTTCAAATCACTTTTTGAAAAGAAAAAAAAAAATCAAAAAAATGAAACCAAACATAGTGATTAATTTTCCAAAATTACCCTTTGATAGTACATTTTTTTTAGAATATTAATTGTCATAATTGTACTTTTTTGTGTTGTTAATGAATTTGAAAGAATGGTAAAATATGAAATTCATATTATTTTATTCCTTGATTTTTGAAAAGGGACTAATCGTTTGGCATAATAAAAAATGAAATAAGGAACTAATATTTTGGGACGGATAGAGTAATAATAATAAACAAGCATCAAAACTGAATTTGCCATTAAAACTACCACCGTTTACCGACATGAATAAAACATAAAAATAAAATTCAGCAATGCAATTAGCCATTTTCCTCTCAAATTTTCTGGAATTAATTAAAAATAAAATTGATTCAAGAACTAGGCACATCATAGCCACACTCTTATTAACACATGGAGAATACAAATTCCATTAATCTTTATTTTCTTGGGGCTTCCTTTGAGATAAAATAGCTAATAAATCATAATCAACAAGCAAAGCAACAATGAATCACTTCAAAGTACTCTAACCAGGTATAAGAACCTTAACAACAATTCCCCTCAGCAGCTTAGGTACAATAATCTGCAGCTACAGGAACCTTAACTGTCCCTCTGCAGCTATAGGAATCTCAACAATTCCCATTGGGAGATTGCTGATATGGTGGGAAGTAGGTAATTTCAAGAAACAATAGACGATAATCTACAGAGCTATCCCTCTAGCAACTCTGCGATCCATTTGGAAGCTTAGGAACGAATGCGTGTTCAATGATGCTAAACTGGATATCTGGGAACTTTCTGAACTTACAAAAATCAGAGTAGCAGCTTGGCTAAAATCCTCATCCAAGGAGTGGCATTACTCTATAAATGACTTTGTACACAATTTCAATAAATGTTTTTTTTTTTTTTTTTTTTGGCTGATAATTAAAAAGAAGAAGAAGAAGAAGCTATACATATGCTTAGTTAAACGGGTAAACTACCAATAGTAGGTCCTAATATTTTGATTTAATTCTCATCAAGAACCATTGAAAATAAGTCTTATTGCATATGTCGCTAAAAATTGACAATCATTGACTGTTTTTGTTATGATTTTTATAAATTGTCGCAAAAACTTACAATTAGTGACTTTTTTCTATGATAAATTTTTCAAAATTGTCATCGAAAGTTGAAAATTAGTGACGATTTTTTTAAATTATAGCTATAATCAATGACATTTTTTGTGACAAAAATTTCAAACTATCACTGAAAATTAATAATTAATGACTTTTTTTTAATAATGTTTGATAAAAAAAACACCATTAATTATCATAATACCTACTAGATAATAAATCCGTCTATTAAGACCTATACATTAATCCTCCAAATTAAATTAACTTTGTGCTTGGATCATTTAAATAAAATAAAGCTATTTTTTCCTTTTTCTTTTTGAAATCTTCAACCATTTCAATGATCCAAACATAACCTCAATAAATTCATATATTTTCTGCACTACCACATCTCATGTCAGTTAGTGTTTAAAGGTTTGTCTTTATTCCTAAACACTAGTCATTTCTACTTGCACTAACCTATTTGAGAAGAATGGTAGATTTACAAACACAAAGTCAGAGCGATTGGCTTCCCTCTAATTTCATATTAGATTAGAAAATATTGTAAAGCCCGTAGAGAGGTAGCAAGAGTCTTGTTTCGATAATTCGAACTGTTTAATAAGTAAAACTCGTCGAGTACTATATGCTTATAAAAAATCACGTTGATCGGATATCGATAGTTATTTCATTAGATCAGATTTCTGCCACCTTTTTATTTTTTCACCATCTATTTTTTTTATACAAAACTGATTTGATTACGTAACTATCGATAAGCGACTGGAGGGAAACCACCCAAGTCAAAATAATAATACTGCCTCCGTCCCAAAATAATAGTCCCTTTAGAAAATTTAAATTTTTTTTGATAGTACAATTATTACATTTTAAAAATATTAATTTTTCAAAATTTCCCTTTGATATTACATTTTTTTAGAAATATTAGTTATCATAATTGTACTTTTTGTGTTATTAATGAATTTGAAATAAGGGTAAAATAGTAAATTAATATTATTTTATTCCTTGATTTTTAAAAAGGGACTAATATTTTGAGACAATAAAAAATAAAATATGAGACTAATATTTTAGAACGAATGGAGTGATAATCATAATCGAGCATCAAAACTGAATTTGCCATTAAAACTGCCATGGTTTACCGACATAAATAAAACATAAAAATAAAATTCACCAGTGCAGTTAGCCATTTTCCTCTCAAATTTTAGACACATCATAGCCGCACTTATTAACAAATGGAGAATACAAAGTCCATTAATCTTTATTTTCTCGGGGCTTCCTTTGAGATAAGATAGCCTGATAAATCATAATCAGCCAACAAAGCAACAATGAATCACTTCAAAGTACTCTAACCAGCTACAGGAACCTTAACAACAATTCCAGTCTTATCAACCCAAACGCGAACCCTAGTGCAGACAAAATCTTCGATAACAATAGTTCCTATCAGCACAATCACGGCTTTAACCAGATAATTCTTCTCCCTCTCGATTGTCGCTGCTGCTATTTTGCCCTCTGCCCCAAGGAGCTCAGGCCATGCAGCCTTACCTGCATAAATATAACAACTTGTATTTGCCTTCTACACATAGTTTAAAATAATTTATCGGAAACGTATCATTATTATGGCAGCAAAGGAGCCGAGTTGAGCCAAACTTTAGTATGTTTGGAATTGTTTATTAAGATTTTGATAAATCCGAATTCGAGTTCAAGTTCAATAAAAATTTAATAAACCGAGCTCGAACGGAGTTAGCTTAAGCTTGACTCAATCTCGAGCCTGTTCACGAACCAAAAAATTTATAAATTTATACTTGCGTATGAGATCAAATTTACAATTAAAACTTTGATTATACAATTATATATACAATATATATAAACATTCTAAAAAAAAAAAGTCAATATTTTACCAAAATAATAATATCTACTACCACTATTATATAAATGTACTATCTATACATTTATATTTTTTAAGTATATAAATAACATATTTATCTTATTTTTATACATATTTTTGTACTATTTTATATATAAATAATAAATATTAAACGAGCGAACTAACGAGCCGAGTTTCAGAATGTTTGGACTAGTTTATTAAAAATTTAATGAGTTCGAGTTCGAACGCAAAAAAAATAAAAATAAAAAATTAACAAACCAAGTTCAAATGAGCTCTTATTGAGCCGAGCTTAAGCCTGTTCACAAAACGGCTCTATTCATTTACAACCCTAATCATTATCTATCACAGCATAACAATATATCAACTAATCTTTTGTTTTCTTTTAATAGGTAAGGAATAAGAATTATTAACTCAATATACAGAATTAAACTTCATAAGTACATTTTTATAGGGAAAAAAAGAAAAAAAGGCATGTCAACATGATTTAAACCAAATCCTTAGCAAAACCTAATCTACCTGGGCATAAGGGCTCGGGCATTTTCAGGTATTATGCTTTGCTAGATCTTGTTGTATTGTCTTTGTGAATTGTGAATGATATGTTGTTGATATGAAAGAGTACTTATAGATGAGCGTTAATCAAAGGCAAATATCACTAAAGTTTTTAATATGTGCCTAAGAGTATATTTTAGGAAAGTATTAAATAAGTATATTTATTAAAAATTGAAAAATGTTATAGGTTCTAAATTTTCTACTAAATAAATAATCAAATATCTCACATGGGTGTGGGGTCTACAAAATTGCAAACTCCACACCCATATGAGGCATTTGGTAATTTAGTTGGTAAAAAAAATTGGTATCCCTAGCATTACCCTTAAAAACTAGCATAACATTAAAAGCTATCTTAATTAAAGATTTTTTTTATTTTATAACAAGACCAAATACTTTTTTGGAAAATTTACCTATAAATCCTATATTAAGAAATGGTAATCTATTTAGTCCCAAAGATTTTTTTACAGACCAATTAGTCTCATTGATTTTGGAAATGTAGATTTAATATATTTTTTAAAAATTAGATTTACGGTTATACCCTTATTTCTATTATGATTCCTTCTCTTTTTTATCTTTTGTTCTAGAAAGTGTACACAATTTATGAAATCAAATTTGGAATGAATTTTTATATAAGAATCTTTTTTATTTGGAAAACATTTCAAAACAAGTATAAAAATGACTTAAAATATAGGATTTTTCAAACATTCTAAAAAGATGTGGGATTCTTTAAACATTTCAAAAAGATGTGGGATTCTTCAAACATTTCAAAAAGAGTACAAAAACTCCTTAATAAGTTTTCGGCAAATGTACAATTTCAAACTGTAACACTCCCCCAAAAAAATACTTATTGTACTTTTTTCAAACGTAATATTCTAATATAGCACTCTAAAAAAATTCATTAGTATTAAAGAAGATTCAAGAAATGAAGAAGAGTCAAAAACAGTTTTGTTTATTCATAAACCATTTCAATCAAAAAATACGCATCTATCTAGATCATGTACAGTATTTATAAACTAATATACTCTACCTAACTATAGTTACAATTAACTATAGTTCTAACAACTTTACAACTGTTATAGGTAATACTAATTAGTGCTGACTAATCTAGCTGACTTCAGATGAGGTGGAGTTGGTTTGGTCATGCTGGTGCAGCTGCTTCTGCAGTATTGAAGTTGAAGTTTGCAACTGAGGTTGCTTAACATTCCCTGTCAAGCTGATAGGAGAAGAATGAGCCAGAAGTTTGTGTTGAAGAAAGTGAAACCGAGAAACTGAAAGGGGTTTGGTGAGGATATCAGCAATCTGGTCAGTAGTAGCAAGATGTTTGATAAGCCACTGTTTGGAAGCAACACGCTCACGGACAAAATGATAGTCCACTTCAATATGTTTAGACCGAGCATGAAAAACCGGATTACTAGACAGGGCAATGGCAGAGAGATTGTCACACCATAGAGTAGGTGGGGCAAGAGGAATGTGAAGATCCCGAAGAAGCATGCCAAGCCAGCTAAGCTCGGCCGAAGTCTGAGCAAGAGCGTGATATTCAGCTTCAGTGGAGGAGCGAGAAACAGTAGGTTGTTTTTTCGCAGACCAAGAAACCAAGTTGGGACCCAGAAAAATACAAAATCCAGTAGTGGACCTGCGGTCAATGGCATTCCCAGCCCAGTCGGAATCCGAATAGGCAGTGAGAACAAGAGGGCCTGGCTGAAACTGAAGTCCCTTATCAAGAGTTCCCTTTAAATAACGCAATAAGCGTTTGACAGCATGAAAATGACTAACCAAAGGAGCGTGCATATGTTGACAGGCAGAGTTGACAGCAAAAGCAATGTCGGGGCGAGTAATGGTCAGATATTGAAGAGCCCCAACAATACTGCGATACAAAGCAGGCTGAGCAAAAGGAAGATCAGAGTCGGGGAAGCTGGAGGATTTAGTAGCCATGGGAGAGGCATAGGGCTTGCAGTGGGACATCCCAGCTTTGGCTAAGATCTCAGTGGCATACTTAGATTGATGCAAAAAGAAACCAGCAGCAGAAGTGTGAACAGAGATGCCCAAGAAATAATTCAGAAAACCCAACTCTTTCATGGAAAAAACTTTATGCATTTGAGCAAGCAACGAGGTAATATAAGAACCATCACTCCCAATTAGCAAAATATCATCAACATATATAAGTAG